TAATAAACTAAAGGTTGCTTAAGTCAACGATACATATGCATATGAAAATGACCTGACTATTTAAAATATTATTTATGAGACTGTTTAATTGTATAAATGTGTCCAAAATACTCTGAGATACAACAATACAAATTATGAGATATTATATAGTTTTATCCAGTTTTGGAAGAAAATATGTATTACAGACATAAAGAGTAAACTTGAAGAATATGTATTACCCAAGTGGCTTTAATTTTTCCCTTTCAATTTTTCTTCAATTTCTAAACATTCTATAAATAACAGGTATTCCTTTTGTAATAAAAATAAAATAAAAATTATAAAATAAAACCCAGTGAGTTTGTACTCTGCACTGAAAACACTACACGTTGGTTTAATGGAAAAAGTCATAAAGAGTAGACTGTCACCCTCTTACACAATTCTGACATGCTGAGTAGAACAACCATGCCTTTCCCTGCAAGGTTCTTATTGCCAAAATGATGCTTAAAACAAGGCCAGAAGCTAGAGGAAGAATAAAAAACATGAAATGTAAGAGCTAATAACTGAGGAAAACTAAGTCTGTACAACTTGAGATGGGGAAAGTAGACAATGGCCTTATTTTTAAAGCAGAAGGGTCACATATAAAGTAAGGGCTTAACAAATACCGAACAAGATGAAGAACAAACAAGGCAAGGAAACTGTCGAGCACTCTAGGAATATAAAAAGGGCAAAGGAAGTTTCATCTTATGAACTGGATATATTTTCTAAATGAATCTTGGCATACTGGCAAAGCATCTCTAACATGTAAATGACTGAATGTCGGATAAAAACTTCTTATAATAGGAAGATATGTAGAGTATCTTGTTAGAAACTAGAATAATGAATTCTGATTTTGTTTGATAATACAAAAGATTGCACACTAATACATATTGGCATACATTTGGTTTATATTCGGAGGACTAGATAAGAGGTAAAATGTATTCTAAGAAAAAAATATAAATATGGAAACATTTAACTTGAATTGTTAGATATTAAAATATCTAAACTAGTTACTTCTCAGTGCTTTTCCATGTTAAACACAAGATAAAAAAAAGCTTGCAGTCATACATTATTACTTAGTACTAAGTAAGTACTTCCCAGTGTCTCTTGGCAAATCCATACAACATTAGTACCAGTTGCACTATCAGTAGATTAAACTGCATTTACTATGAATTCCACATATTATAACTTCCAATGCCACTAAAGAAACTCCTTTTGGCCAGGCATGGTGGCACAGGCTCGTAATCCCAGCTACTCAGAAGACTAAGGGGGGAGGATCACAAGTCTGAAGCTGGCCTGGCCATTTAGGAAGCCTTGTCCAAAATAAAAATAAAAAGGGCTGGGGGTGTATCTCAGTGGTACAGTACTCCTGGTTCCAGGCAAACACAAAAACAAACCAAAAAAACCTGCTTTTGTTGAACAGTATTTACTCTGATATAACTGCCTTACTTTCAGGTGTTCCCTTAAAACTGAAAAACAACATCCTTACTCACATAAAACATTAATTCCCCACATACTCATTGTCCGTCTGGTTAGTCCATGTTTTAAAGTTGTACTCACCCTCAGCAATGCCGCTGAGTTTACTCCTTCTCAGAATGAGCACCTTCAGAAGCGGAGGTCACGCCGAAGCTGCTCCTGCAGTGTCCCACCCCGAGGAGTTAGCACTAGGAAGATCCAACAGGATGGAGTGAACGGCATTGTGCTAAGGGTTAGTTTACTTCCCAAGTGTGTAAGTACGCGAGAGGACCGAAGATCATTTTTGATATGAGATTGTTACTGAGGTTCGGGGTTTTATTTTCTGTTCTGTTTTGGCGTGAGGCTGTAAGTGAACTCTAAAAACCGTGATGTTTACTTCCACTGAGGCTGTGTCTGTGGTCTGTCTGTGGGAATCTCATGCTCCCAGTACAACAGTTTGTCAGAAGGCAAGTCATTCCTCTGGCACTCAGAATTGCAGAAAATACTGCTTTTCCTGATGGGTTTGTCATTGTTTCAATAAAGACCTATAACTGTGGCAGTAACTCTGACATAGATGCTTTTCATAATTCCTAGAAAAGAAAAACTGACTTTTCAAAATATATAAAAGCTAACTGCAAATAAGCAGAAGATTTAATTTTCTGATTTAGGAGAATTATTTATTTATTGATTTAAGTGAATGTTTGATTTCTGAGAAATTGAAACATCAAAATGTAGCTACCAAAATGGTGCATATAGTACAAAATTGCATTTATGTGACATCTAAAGAAAGGACTCCCTGCGTTTTCAGAAAATATGTATCATAAGGCCTTACCTCTGTACCTGCTTTTCAGTATCATTCACTCGGCAGTCTGTTTCGGAGTACGTGAAACTTCCGAGGATTAAAGACTTCTCTGTTTCTCTGCTGGTCATTAGTAGGGGGCAAAGTCTGTTGCACTTTTATAGAACACTGTAATCAGCTATGCGGTTTATGACTTGAGTGACATCCAGTTACACACTAAGCTGTGAACCTCCCACAACTGCATGAATAGAAAGGTCAACTCACAAAGAGATGTTTGATTTTATGACTAGAAGGACAAGTTTTATCTTTGTGGCTTTTGAAATAATTTTAAAAGCATTTAAATACATTAAATACAACATATATGAGCTATGAAAAGGAAGCTGTGTCTCCCAGTCATGATGCAATAAGAGAAACATCAGGCATCTTTTTCATTACAAATTCTTGAAAGCAACTGGAAGTTATAAAACAAGTATACCCAAGTTACAAAGGCTGAGTGTACACACAAAATAATTTTATAGGAAGTGGAAATAGATTTTTGGGATACATTTTTTTTTTCTTTTTCTTTTTTTTTTTTTTTTTTTTCTGGTACTGGGAATCAAACTCATGACCTCACGCTTGCCAGGCAGGCACTGTGCTGCTGAACTAAATCCTCAGCCCTTTGGGATACATTTTAAACTAAATTCCATTTAAAAACCAGCATGTAGCCAAGTATGGTGGTGCATGCCTATAATCCCAGGACTCTGGGAGCCTGCAGTAGGTCGACTGAAAGTTTGATGCAGCCTGGGAAACGTAGAGATTTTAGCGAGACCCTTTCTAAATAAATGAATGAATGAAAGAATGCATGAATGGCTGGGGATGTAGCTCAGTGTGAAGGCCCTGGATTCAATCCCCAGTGCCGCATAAAAACAAACGTACAAAATAAAAAAAAAAATGTGTGTACAAATAATCATATTATTCGGTATGGAAGTCACAATAAGTTCTTCCTTTTGGACCCATGGCACTTGTTCTAGTTTTGATCAGCACAGTCTGAAATGCTCAAATTTAACGGATCTGACCCCAGCTTCCCGACTCTTTCTTGATCCATCCTAGGTAATTCCAAAGGATTATTTTCCCATAGTCCCTTCTTTCCAAATAATCCCCTCATTCAGAACTTTCAGAGGAATCCTTATTGCCTAGTGTCCAGATCCCTCAGGCTGGCACTCAGAGCTTCGCATTACCCAGCGGACCTTATGAAATAAGCGTGGTGAGTACATGTGGATTAAGTGCAGGAGGTGGCTTGGGTGAAAGTGTGTATGTGCCTGTACCTCACGCTAAAATTAGCTTTTCATTCATTCCCAATTCCAAGCTGTCTTTTCCATTCCTGGTCTAAATCCTACATCTCCTTCCAGACTTACCTCCAATCCTGTGGTCTGAGATTCATTTTCCTGCTCTAGCCTCCTCTGTCTTTATGCTTTCAGAAACTTTTCAGTAAATATGTACGGAATAAATAAATGCACATTAGTAACATTCAGTTTGGAAGAATGTCAATACTATCCCGTCGTTTGTGCTTACTCTGTGTCTGTTTTGAATACCGCAAACAAATGTTAAGGACCATGATAAACACAAATATATTCCCATGTTTAATATTTTTAATAGTCTGTAACCTGTCGCTGGGCTATGCTCTTTGCATGAATGTGCATAAAGTGAATGAAATTTATAGAATCACTTCTAAACTTCTGTTTCACACAAGATCAATTCTGACATATTTTGAAGGGCATCTAAATTCAAGTACACGCTGCACAGGTGCCCTCCAGCAAGAAGTGATTTAGTGTTCCCCTTATGCAACACCAGAGAATGAATTAACCTGCCCAGTCAGAAAGATACTTTGCTTCTACATTCAAAGCTGCAATTATTATGCATATACATCTATAACTGTATACCAAGCTGACGTTATAACATTAGCAACAACAAAAATATTGCCATCATTCCATACGGGCACATTATTTTGCAGAGCTGAAAAAAAGATGTGGTTTAAAAAATTTTTTTCTTCAGGGGGTACAAAATAAGCATTTTTATTGCCCTGCTTATTTTTAGGTGGAAGTGATTGATACATTATTAGGTCTGAGTTCAAAATATGAAAGGTAATCTTATATCTTCTGAAGAAACTGGAAACAATTAGGTAAAATACAAGTCTTTAGACAGACTTATGCAAGCTAAAGTCATGAAAAAGCAGTTAAAAACACTGTGTGTGCATATCAGAAAGTGAGAGAAAGAAGGAAAAGGTAGCAAAAAGAAGTAGAAAGGAAATGAATTCATTCTTACATAACGAAAAGGTGGAAGAGAGCAGGTGGGATTACCTTTGGTGATAACGTGATGAGCAAAGAGCACACACAATGCTAACGCTGCTTGAGGCACCCTGAAGATCCTTAGGTAGTCCTCAAGTGGTCTACTGCTGGATCAAGGCAGCTGAGGGCTTCAGACTTGAGCGGAGAGGCTCCACCCATCCTGCCGACACCTGCGGCTTGGCAAGCCTTCACCCTTTCCTCTCCGGCTCCCGCCTCTCCTACGGGCAGGCCGGCCACACGGGGCTCAGGCATTCTGTAACACACAGGAGGCAGGAGGATCCGAACTGGGAGTGCCCAACTTTCTGACTCTGACTCTGGAGATTACACGAATACAGTTCTCAAGCCACGTTTAAATCATATCTTTATGACCAAGCAGAAACTCAGTATCATTAAAAAAACTAAGAGGAAACAGTTTATAGAAGTTTTATTGTAAACAGAAGTCATTAATAATTATTACAAACTGAACCGAAACTCAAGCTAGCAATGTGAAACAAATTTATAGGTTGGTTTTTATATGGCATAATTTTTTTTATACGGCACAATTTTTAATCTTTTCCCTTCTCAACTTTTAAAAAGAATACTAAAATTATCAGCATTTCAATGGTCTCTTCTGTCAAGTTTAGCACCATTAACATTCTTACCCCCTTAAAAACACTCATTCAAAACTAGACAGAACTTCTCCCTGTCCTCATCAAAACTATCTCACAAAAATGTATTATTTTTTCTTAGTGCAAAAATACAAATATGTATATTTTTAAAAATGCAGACTATTTACAGGCAGTCCCTGTTTGCGTGGTTTTGCATTTTCCCCTTCAGCCCATTAGAGTCTAGAGAAGTCTGCATTTCTTTCTGTTGTCCCCCTGTCGCTGCAATGCCCCTCTAGAACATTATGGTCATTTAAGGAAGCACAAATCTGCACCCGCCCAGGCCTCCCCGAGGCTGCTGCTCAACGCGGAGGAGTGAGCCTACAGCACGCAGAGGCCAAGTTTCTGCTTGTAGAAAAACACCACCTGGTGGTGAGTGTGGGTAGCTGAAATTCTCTGTGAATGAGGGTAGGCCACAGGTGAAACGGGTGGTTTGTTCTTGCTCTGCTGCCCAGTAAATTTCCTAGGTCTGCATTTCAGTGAAAACCACGGGCCACTTAGAACGTACCCCAAACACTGTGCCATTAACAGTCAGTTCTGAAAAACATCTTCTCACGTCAAAAGCACTTAATGGAGATGTATCAAAAACACAAGTACTTCTCAAGCAGAAGTAAAAATAGAGTAGTTAATGAATTAGATTCAATAAATAATACTTTGTAATATAGTGTTCTGTGGTTTAGTAAAAATATTTAAAGAAACTTTCAAAACAAATCTAGAGCAGCCAAGTAATGAATGTAAAATTTAAAAATGAACTGAACATATAAGCAAAAATTCCAATGATTTTTCTGTGTAGGTTTGAGATATTCAATGATACTGAATATATTTAAATAGGTTCAAATATCACTACAATAACAGAGGTCATGAATCTCATTCTCATTTCACTCAAAAACTGCACTCAGTGTTAGGTAATAAATCAGTCCTTATTTTAGTACAATTTATTGACCTGACAGTCTCTAAGGCATTTGGTTTTTCTGTCAGAAGGAACCACAGCCATATTGAATACAAATTGCTTTTCTGGTTTTGATTTTCTCACACAGTTCAAAGTGAGCATGACAGAACATGGTGCTACCTCAGTGCAGGTGGGGTCTATGATGTGTCCTGCCTATTTTACAGCACTCTATTTTGGGGTCCCTGTCCTTGCTCCTGTGTCTGTTAATGATTCCAGACAGTGACTTTCAAATCAAGTAATACAACATATGCTTAAAATCAAGTGGCCTGAGAGCCATAAATGATTACGATGAAACAGTGATATTAGAAGCAGGAGTACATTCTTACACTGTTTGGAATTACTTGTCTTCCCTCGTGGATTAGCACCCTGACTTCCTTTCCAGGCATGGCACGCGCTGTGAGGGGAGCTGGCAGTGTGGCACACTGGAACCACCCCATCGGCCACTTCTGGAGCAGGACTCGAGTGGGCCTGGGGCCCGCCTGCCTTCCCTGCGCTGCCCCGAGGTGGGGGAGTGTAAATCCCTTGGCATCTCTGTAGCCTTTTCAGCTACTCCAGTGTGTCAAAGCTGGAAACTGGTGTACCGCACATGGAGGCCAATTAGTCCTCTCTACTCAGTAATATTTTGGAATTGGCTTATGACAGTTTAAAATCTGACAGTGATTGGTCTTTTCTTTTTTGGTGTAACATGAAATGTATTTATCTTTTAAATAAGTAGCATACCTGTTTTATTTGATTCTTACCTGCTTAGGTAAGTTTGAATTTGTCTTTTTTTCACCTTTGTAGAGTTTTAAATAATTGAGAATTAAGTGCAGATAGTAAAAAAGAAGATAGTATTTGGAATCAGGTACATCTAGATTTAAAGCACACTTGAATGCTGATCCTAGCTCTGCTACTTACTATGTGATGTTAGGTAGGTTTCTTAATTTCTCTGATCTGCACTTTCTAGTTTTTTTTTTTTTTGCTTTTTTTCTGGTACCAGGAATCGAACTCACGACCTTGCGCTTGCCAGGCAGGTGCTGCGCTGCTGAGCTAAATCCCCAGCCCCTGATCTGCACTTTCTTACTGGTTAAACCTGGGATAATAACACCTACTTACAGAGCTGCTGTGAGAGTTAGATATTAAACATGCAATGCCCAAGACAATACCTAGGAAGTACAAGATGCTTGATAAATGACGCATCACCATTATTCAAAAATTAAAGCTGAGGTTGTGTTTTAATTTCCACCACACTATGAACACTTAATATACATCACTGTTTCAAGTAACCACTCTATTAGAGTATTTTCTTCTTAGTGCAAAATTAAGGAACCATAGTTTTTTACTCACTCACATATGTATACTTTTAAAATTCCTTCACTTGCACATGAGAACATGGCTCTGGGTTAGTGCAGTAAAAATCTGTGTCTTTCCTATTAGAAGACAAAAAACAGCATGGAAACCTATGTGCTGCAAACATACACTAATTTTAAAAAGAAAAATAGACGTCATGCTTCTGATGCGTTTATCAGACCCAAAGCTTACTTATAGTAAGTCTAAGCAACTGCTTCAACCCTTTAAAATTCATTAGACAAGGGATAGTGGAATTTTAAAACCACTTTTTTAAAGATTAATTTCATTAACTCCTTATAATTATTTAGAGCACTGTCATTTGAAAATCTGTGCAACTTAATAAAATATATTAGAATTTAGGGTCTCAAGAATACTTTAAATAGGGAGACTGCATAATACATAGAGTAGTGCTCTCAATTAAAATAATTACAGTGAGTTATCACAAACTGTAAAAACATGATTTGCATGCATACTCTTAGAAAACAAAGGTCGGGCCCAGATATAAACATACAGATGACCTCCGGTGCTCTAATGCGTGTTTCCACAGGGACTGTCTGAGACTTGGCAGCCCATGTTCTGGCTGGTCACTTGCACTCTGAAGAGAGTCCCATCAGCACACACGCACAGCTTGTAGCGCACCCAGTCTCCGGCACCCAGCTGGTCTCCACCGGAGGAAGTGGGCAGGCGAGTAGTGCTGACCATCACAGTTCCATTGAGGATGATGCTATTTTCCTACGAGGAGGAGGAAATATGATTTGCTTACCTCCACAGGTGGGAAGAAAATGAAATTATTAAACAATAGTTACTGGATTAGTAACAACAAAAGAAGGTACTCAGAGAATAAAGTCATGACCAAATAATAATGGCAACAACGCAAATCCACACCAGTGCCAGAATTCAACTGGAAACTCGGCGGAGTGACACATGCCTATAAGCCCAGTGACTACAGAGGCTGAGGTAGCAGGACTGTAATTTGAGTTCAGCCTGGGCAACTCATCAAGACCTTGTCTCAAAATAATTTTAAAAAGCAGCGCTGGAAGAAAAAAAAAAAGAAGCGCTAGAGATGGAGCTCAGTAGTAGAGTCTCCTGTACAACAGGGGGAAATCCCCAGTACAACAGGGAGAAAAAATAAATGGTGACTTTTTAGCTTATTCAATTTATACTGTGTGTCAACTGCAACATAACTTGCAATTATTAGTTAAAATTACATTAAAACTCCTAAGTATATAATGAAGTCTCAGAAAATTTTCACTTAATTCCTCAAGGAACTATAACAAAGTTACTGAGAAGTTTGTGATGATGAGAAGAAAAACACTAGTTTTCCCCAGAAGGAATTAATTTTAATGAATGGAGATTAACTAATGATTAAATACATGTGATTTTAAAGACCAGGCACTCGAAACTTCCTAGAGCTTCTCTTCTTGAAGCGCATTTCCCCAGAAACTCTGATACTGTAGGGCCTTAAGACGCTTTCTTTTTAGGGACCTCTTCTCCCTTCTTTCCTCCCTCTCCCCTTTCTTCCTTTCATTCATTCAACAACTAATCAGTAATTGCCTACTATGTGCCAGGCACTATTCTCGGTGCTGGGGATACAGCCGTGCATAAAATGGGCAAAGTCCAGGGCTGACAGTTAATGCAGTAGGAGCAGACAGTAAAGAAACAGGTTCAATATATAGCACAACAGGAGGGGTAAGTGCTATAGGAAAAATAAAGCTGGGTAAGGAGAGAGAGAGGGCAGGTAAAGCTATCTTACACAGCATGGTTGTAGGGGGTTCTCATTCCAGCAGAAAGTGGAATTGAAGGGGGAAGCCACAGAGAGAACTTCATGCGAAGCAGAGAAGAAGCGTGTGCAAAGGCAAAGACACGCCTGCCGCGGCAAGGACACGAAGTCAGTGTGGATGAAGCCCAAGGGTGTGGGGAGGGCTTGGTAGAGATGAAGCAAGTTCCTGCAGGCTAGACATGCAAGGGCTGGGAATAAGCTTCGGATTTTATTTGAAATTAGGAAGTCATTTAGAGGCTTCATTAGAAGGAAATGACAATCTTTTCAAAAGGTCACTGGGGTGCTGGGTAGAGAAAGGCCTACAGGTGTGAAGGGACAAAGCAGAAATTCCAGGTGGGAGGCTGTTCCAAGTCCAGGCAGGAAATGAGTGCAGATTACATCACGGTGGTGACAGAGGTGACACAGCCAGACTCTGTCTCCTGAAGGTGGAGCCAGAAGGTTCTGCTGATGGACTGGGTATTGCGGCACCAGGCAGGGCCACTGAGAGAGGCACGTTTACCAGGTAAGGAGGACATCAAGACTTTAGACTCGTTAGATTTCAGATGTCCATTAGGTACGGAAATGGAGAAGGTCAGCGGGCAGTTTGTTAAGTAATCTCAGTTCTGAGGAAAGGTTAAGGCAGGAGTTCCATCCATGGGAGTCATCAGCTTACAGAGGGTATTGGAAGCAATGAGAGGAAGTTGGTCATAAAGTAATGACGTGGCTAATTTATTAGGTAGTGGAAGCACAGGTGAGTATCCCTAATCTGAAGTGCTTAGGATAATAACTATTTCACATTTGAGAGTTTTTTGGATTTGGAAGATTTCCATAGAACGTAATTCTTAAGGAACGATGAAGTTTTAAAATTTTGTTCCTATGCTGCCATCTTGTGGTCATTTAAAATGATTTTTCTTTAGTTTCTTAAGAGGTTTTCTATCAATTCCAGTGTTCTGTCAAACAGAAGGGTGACCATCGTTAACAATGTATTTCAAAAATAGCTAGAAGAGGATTTTGAATGTTCTCAACACAAAGAAATGATAAATGTTTGAGGTGATGGCTATGCTAATTAATCAAATGTGATCATTACACAAATTTTATCACATCATTATACTGAACCCTATAAATATGTATATTGTGTGTCACTTATAAATTTAAAAAGGAAAAATAAAACTAAAAAAGTAGTTTGATCAAATTCTGGGTTTATCTTTTGTTTCCATACTGACGCCTGAACCCAGAGCCTTTGTAATAAGTTACATGGCCAGCCTCTTTTATTCTGAGACAAGGTCTCAATGAGTCAGTAATTCGCCTGGTCTGGGCTCAAATTTTCTGTCCTCCTGCTTCAGCCTTCTACAGTTCTGACAACATTCTTTCTAATAATTAGCTTATTTTAAAAAGTAACCACTGATTTTAACGGAATTATAAAGCTAACTATCTATATATGGGAACTTTTAAAAAATGACCTAAGAGTAGAAGAGGGACGATGAAGGAATGAAAAAGGGACAAGAGCAGCGGGGAAGGTGGACAGGATCAACGCACGATATATGCAAAACACCATGGTGAGATCCATTAAAATGTAACTTCATATGCGTTCATTACAATAATAAAAAACTAGTTGTCCTTTTAATACTGGGTCCTTGTTCTTTAAATATAAGGAAACAAATTATGTTTCCATGTGTATTTCAAAGTATTTTAACATTTGTCATATTAACAAAGTAGAATGAGACAAAAATTTTCTGGCGGAAAAATAAAAGGTTGAGGTAACTTGTCCATGGTCTGTATAAGCAGTCCAGCCTCTCACTGCTGTGACTTCCTGGCGCAGAGAATTACACCCCTGCTGTGGGTGTTCTCAGCGCCGGTAGAGAACAGCTTCTTACCACAACGCAAGTCGAAACTGCTCCATGCTGCTATGGCGTTTCTGCAAGAAGTACATTTATGTGCATCTTTATTATTTACAAACGGAGTTCTGTGCTTTAGATTAACAAGCTGTTTATGAAAATGAGACAACTATCTCATTTTCTAAAGTTTATTATTCCTAAGAACTGAAGTTTAATTTTTTGAAAAAGGAAAGCATTACTTAGCAGTCCTTAGTTTTAAGGTCCCTTTTGTCATGTAATGTTTGGTAGACAAATTTAATTAACTTTAGTGAAGTAATATATAGTAGGTATACAGGGTATTTTGAATAAATATATTTTGACCAGAATTATGTAGTAGGGTGGCTGCTAAAGAAAATTTCACTTTAAAAAGTCACAATAAAAGCGAAACCTTTTTCCCTTATAATTAAAAAAGATGTCCATATAATAATACATTTTATAATTTGCTAATTCTTTTGATATCACTAGATATGAAACTGAGGGAAGGATTTGAAGAATCTTTATTTTTCTATATTTTATTTTTTTGTCTTTTTTTTTGAGATAGGGCCTCCCTATGCAGTTCAGGCTGGCCTTGAGCTCACTTTGTAGCCCAGGCTGGTCTCGAACTTGCA